GATGTAATGTAAAGATTTACAATTTAATTCCACAGTATAAAATAGAAGGCTATGAGCTAGGGATGAATAAAGGATAATAGTGAGATTAAATTAAAAAGAAATAAAAGTGCACAGATTGCCTTACTCTACACAACTGTGTAGTTAGAAAAATGAATACTCGACACCGCTGTAAAATCAGGACAGGACATTTAATGTTTGCCAACAGGAGACAGAGTTGACACACAACAAGTCATGCACCAAGCCTACTGGAAGGTCTTCTTTCCGGGGTCACCATTTATACTTAAGATATGGTATCATAAACATGGGGAGGGTTGTGCACGTACAGAGGTCTGATTGTCCCAGACCTCCTGTTATTGTCTGGAGACAAACATCTGACCATCATAAGACGCAGAGTGTCCTCCTGGACACCGGAATCTCATTTCCGCTGACATGTCATCAACATTGAACAATACAGACGTGACTCCCTTTTCATCATGTTTTTGCAGTTTTTCCAACAGTGTATGTGAAAGTGACAAGTGACATGTGCAGTATGAGGGGGAGTGACTGGAGGAATGTTATAGTCAGTCAGTGGGGGACCGGCTCTGTTGATGAGCCCGACTGCCGACGGGAAGAAACTGTTGGTGTGGCGGGAGGTCTTAGTCCTGATGGACCTCAGCCTCCTGCCAGATGGAAGGGGCACAAACAGGTTTTGTCCGGGGTGAGAGGGGTCGGCCACGATCTTTTTAGCTGCTTCAGAGACCTGGAAGTGAACAAGTCCTGCAGGGACGGCAGATTGCAGCCGATCACCCTCTCTGCAGAGCGGATGACGCGCTGCAGCCTGCCCTTGTCCTTGGCTGTGGCTGCAGCGTACCAGACGGTGATGGAGGAGCAGAGGATGGACTCCATGATGGCCGTGTAGAAGTGCACCATCATCGTCTTTGGCAGGTTGAGTTTCTTCAGCCGCCTCAGGAAGAACAACCTCTGCTGAGCCTTCTTGGTGATGGAGCTGATGTTCAGCTCCCACTTGAGGTCCTGGAAACGGAAGGAATCCACAATAGTGACGGGGAAGTCGCACAGGGTGATGGGGGAAGGTGGGGCTCTGTTCCGTCGTAAATCCACAACCATCTCCACTGTCTTTAGGGCGTTGAGCTCCAGGTTGTTCTGACTGCACCACGACACCAGATGGTCAGACTCCCACCTGTAGGCGGACTCGTCCCCACCAGAGATCAGTCCAAGGAGGTTGGTGGAGCTGTGGGGGATGGAGTCAGGACATGTCTATCAAATCTGCAGTAGAACTCATCTGGTCTGCCAGGCGGAGGTCATTCATGGAGTGGGGGGTTTTTGGCTTGTAGTTTGTGAGGTGTTTAGAGCCTCTCCAAACCGAAGCAGAGTCACTTGCTGAGAACTTGCAGTTTCTCAGAGTACATTCGTTTCTCACCGCCTGGCTTAACCTGTATTTTGACTCTGTGTCTTTGTCCCACTCCTGAGTCAGTCATGCGTGCTGCTCTTGAAGTGTTTACGAATGCCACTTACTGGAAAGACAAAGTTTAATATTGGTGACGCTCCGGGTCCTGATGACTGTCACGTCCTCTCAAATAACTTTAATCGCCGATTAGGATTCCTCCTCCACGGCGCCACTTAGAAGCGTTTGCCGGGTGGCGGCGGGGAGGTTGCGGCATTAAGTCGGCCTTCCCGCCGCTGCCCCTCGTTAGCGCTGCGGCTCCCGATGGTCACAAATGGAGCGAGGCTCATTCACGGCACAGAGCGGGAAGTGCTCAACAGCCCAAACCCGTGCTGATTAGGCCTCCATTAGAGGGACGAGGACTCTCTGACGCAGACTGAGTGGGGGACGTCTCCGGGGCCGCAGGGGGCCGTGTTTACTGGGGGGCGGCCGGTGAGGGTCCTCGCGGTCGTGTTTCTTTCTGTTTTTTTATATTTTCATCCTAACGTATGAATAAAGGTCGTCTGATCTTCACCATTTTGGAAAGTTTGAAACGAAAAAAAGTTCTGTCTCTGTTTCACTGTAGTCAAGGGAAACAAAGGGCCCTTTTTGCTAGAAAAGGATTGTGGTTAAAAGGAGAAGTGGGGAGAAAACACAGATGGCATCTTAATGAAAGTAATTTGCGTTTGCAAGTTTGTGTTTCTTTGTTATTGAAACTAGTGTATTCCGATTTCTTTCTTTTTTTACCCATTTCATCCTCTTTCAAACAACCACAAAATGTTTTGTAAGGTTGTGGTTATTGTTTTTCTTTAATATAGATCCACATCGAAACAATTGTGAAATAAGAGTTTATTTACTATTACCATTATGTCATTCTTTTTTTTTGATTGTTCGTAAGTGGCCTAAACACAGAAACTTTTTTAAATTTTCAAGTGAAGCCAAAGCATCGATAATTGCAAACCACCTTTGGACTTTGACTACTAGGGACACATTGAATGAAGCCACATCTTTATTTTATTTTTATATGAATGCGAAATGGGATATATCTTTGTGTCCCTCCATAATCATTTGTAAATAATGCTGAACTCTTTTTGAATAAAATGTGCTATGAATCGAGCTTTAAGTAATAAATAACCGAACCTTTCACTGAACTTCAGAATATATAAAGGAGGAAGCTGGAAAGTTTGTTTTGTATTGTAAAAAAGTCCAATTCAAAAGAAGAAAATGAATACGTTCCATATCACCATGAAATTCATGAACATGCAACTAGGGCATTCTAACCTTTGCTGAATTTCGGAGAAATCTACACAACCAAATCTCCAAAGCGGTAAATGAACGAGCTAAATGTGTATTACGGATGTTTTCTTTTCGCTGGTCTGAAGTAGACTTGCAAGCCAATTCTCTGAACCGACCCGCGGACTGAAAGCGGCGCCTCATCTCGTTCCTCCTCCAAGTCTTGCATTCCGCTGTTCCACATTCAGAACTCTTAAGACACGCTCAATAAAACATGCTCCTCTGCAGCATTTACAACCCTCGCGTTTCCTGAAATGAGAGCGGCAAAAACATCGGCGATGTTCTGGAGGACGCGTACATGAAAGTTGATGTTTTAATTCTGCGTAAGCCGTGAGTTACAAGTGCCTCGTATGTTCTGGCACAGCGGATCCGTGCCAGGGCGAGGTGGGGGGGGGAATGGGGGGTGGCTTGTTGTCGAGCAGCATATTTTATTTCCTCTCCCCTGGGTTCGGAGGAGCTGTTGCACTCTGGAGTTTTAGCGGAGGCCACAAGGTTATTATATAAACAATTCACACGGAGGCCCTGGAGCAGCCGGAGGGAGCGTTTTAATGCAATGCTCACAATTTGTGAAGCGCTGTAATGCTCAAGACGCAGACACGTATCCAATTTTAACCATGCTGCATTATCGCCCTGTTTTCCCTGCTTTTTTTCTTGCCTTTTTCCTTATTCTTATTTTTTGGGCTGTTTTTGTAAAGGCAACTTAAAAAAAACACACACACTTAATTAATTTGGTCAGCTGCTTTGGATAAACTACATTGATGACATCAATTAAATTCTAATGAAAACAGATAAAAGCCGTGGAAAGCAAATGGAATTTCTAAACAGGACTCATCAAAGTCTGAGCATTGGAACAAATTCCCATTACGTCTCATAAAAGCCTTTAATTTGCAAAGCTCATGTCTGGTTTGGTACTCAGAAGTACACGGTCAAATGATTCAGTCGTGAGTCCTGCACCAAAGAGAAGCCAAATCTGAATTTAATTTGGCACGTAACTCCTTATCCCGTCTCTAACATGTGGTTGGATGCAATCCTTGGATTAGCGTGGACTTTAGAACTACACATTTGGCTCGTCTCCTCCTCCTCTGGCAGAACAAACACCTCGTCCAACCCCGTTTGTAACGCAGCATTTACATTTCCAATCTGCGCGACGAGAAGCACAGATTAGTACTTCTTAACCAAATTGCTGCAATTGTGTGTGTCAATCGGCGGCCGTGACGAGGCTCCGTCCCTCCGTCTCTTTTGCCACCTGTCTCTCTTTTGGGATAACGGTATACCCTCTTTCCAATGTTTCATAGTTCAAGACAAGTTATGATGAATAATCCAAGCTGCTCGCAATGTTGTATGTCTGGATTTGAGAGATGGGGCTTTAAATATTTCATAAAACTCTAGGATGAATACAGATCGTTTTATTTACTAAAATCGGATCGGTAACATCCTGACATATATGACGGCATTATTTAAGCTGACTCCAGTTGATATTTGTATAAAATGAGTGTGTTACATATTCATTTTAATTGTTGATTTCTAACGGAAGGAGTAACCCCGACTAATTCACATGCCATTCAACAATATGAGCATTGTAAAAGTAGGATTTCACACTTTGGAAGAATTTTCTTTCCATCATGTAGTTCTTTTTTCATGCATTTGATCCTTTCGTTGCAGATAAATTGTTGGTAAGTCTGTTTATTTTGGTTAGCCTAAAAAATTGCTGTGAGAGTTGTGAACAGTGCAAAGAAATAATAATGATAATTCATCATTAACATCATCATTCATGTGAGTGCATCTGAAAGAGACACTTTGGAACTTTACCCACTCAAAGCCGTGTTCTTTATTTGTTGAAGGTTCCGCAAGTACAAAAGGGGACAAGGTTTACAAGAAGCTGCTCGGTGTGTTGCCCCCACATGGTGCGCACACACACACACACACACACACACACACACACACACACACACACACACACACACACACACACACACACACACACACACACACTTCAGCTTCATGTGTACGACTTCTTGAGTGGCCGGGGAAATGATTGCACGTGCTGCACACATTCAGTTCGTTCATTTTTTTTTTCTAAAAGTGAAATGTCTCTGTTTTCTGCATCCACCATTCGGGTGAATGAGAATATAAACAATAACTTGTTTATCGTGTATCCGTTTGTTGGCGCGGCGTCTCGTGGCGGTTTGAAATGTGGGGGGAAAAGGGGAAGTATTTAATAAGCTGTTTTTGTTCCTCTTGTGTGTGTGTGTGTGTGTGTGTGTGTGTGTGTGTGTGTCCATCCCAGCAGACTACCCCCCACCTCCGCCACCTGCCGAAGACCCAACCGGTTTCTCGCCGCCCCCTGGTTCATTCCCGTCTCCTCCACCGTTGAACTCCTGCGATTTTCAGGTGAGGGGTCATTGCATCTAATTTGATCTTGGTTGTCAGGAACTGGGGGTGTCGGAGCTCTGCACTGAGATCACCCGCCAGTCCAACGAGGGAGGAAAAGTGTGTGTGTCCCCCTCTGCTGCAGCATAGAAGGCTGACACCTATCGGTGGAGCCGGGTTATAGTACCCACAGGCGCTTGCAGCCTCCCGGGGGACATCTGGCCCCTGCTGTCTAACCGACACACTGAGCACTTGACCCCTGCTGCGAAACCCCTCCGAGTGCCCCCCGCCCCCCTCCATGACCCCCCGCCCCCCTGTTTATGATCCGACCAGTGCCTTGTGCCAAACGAATGCTTCCCGTGTGAAGACATATTTAGATATTTATGCAATCCGTGCAAATTCAAGTGCTCCACACAAACTGTAGACGGTGAAGAGGTGCATCCTGGGGATTAGGGTGGGGTTATGGCCTCAATGTAAACTCCGCCTCATGGCTCTGCCAGCAGCCCAAAGACAACAACATTTACAAATGAAATAAGCGTAAACTAAATTCTACACATTAAAGATTGGACTCCCAACAATACTTTTTGCCATTTCATATTTTCTGAAGCCACAGATAATGTTTAGTAAAAAGGAGCGTGTTGATAGTCCCTGCCGGTCTCACTCCTCTGCTACCACACCTGTTGCCTACGTCACCTGTGTTGGTATCTTCCTCCATGTGTACATGTGTCATATACAGTACAGATCCTGTGTTCACAGTAATCAGAACCAACCTTCTCTCAAGTCCTGTCCAAGTGTTACATTGTTAAGTGTCTAAGTTTGATGTAGTTGATCTGTATTCTAATCCCAGAATTGAACCTGCATAGGTCACGTGCCTGTGATTCATTGAAAGAGCTCTGTCTCATGGTCCCTTAATAGCAACTGTTCGTATTTCCTCTTTCACCTGGCTACTTGCGGCTATCAGATGCATGTTTTGTTGTCTCCTAGGGGATACTGTCCCATGTCTACTTGGATGTGCAGGTACAGTCAAAATGCTCCTGATGATCTTTAATGTGAAGGATTTGCTTTCGTGTCTTTCCCCACTGCTATATCTGCCATCTCTTTCTCAGCACCACGGCAGCAGACGTAAAATAAATGAAGTGCCTAATTAGTTTTCAAAGTGCTTCACCGCTTTTCATCTCTGACTTTTCTTCTCCTGTCACATTGGCTGGCCATGCAACGGGATTCCTTAATACACCACTGGTATCTTAATTGCGTGCCCCGTAGCCAGAGCAGAAGTCTTTAACTGCATGGAAAAAAGAGGGTAGATATCAATCAAAATGTCTTTGTATCTTCGTCTCTGTGCCCCAGCAGACAAATCTCACACATGAGCGAATATGTTTAAACGGTGCGTCCTCCGATGAAAGGAGAACTACTTCTCGTGCGTATGAGGCAGGCAGAGGTGTGGATCGGGACGGGGCCACGGCGAACCCTCCAGCCGCTAGTTTACATTATGAAGCGCCACACGCCAGAGACCGCAGCGCTTCCTTTCATCCTCCCCTTATTCCCCGTTAAATACTTTTTTCCCCTCCTCTTTTTCTTCTTTTGTTGATTTGAGACAAGCCATTAGTGTTTTGCTTTGTTTACCCCCCCATGGTAGCCTTAGATGTTTTTTAAGCAGCAGCAGCTCTGCTCCAAATGGAAGCAAGCCCTGCCTGTAATAGATTGTGACAGGTAATCCAAACACATAACATTAGAATAAGAAGCAGTCACTGATCCAGCCAACTCAAAAAGCCCCCGCAGGCAATTGCAAGAAGTCTTCTTGCAGTTGCAGCATAGTTCAGAGGACTAAAAATATATCTGTCATTCCGTGGAGAAACTCCCGGGATTTTTTTTGTAGAAAACAGAGTGTCACGAACGGTCAGATCATTTGGATGCAGATTTTTGTGTAAGATTTTTTGTGATATCTTTTTTAAATTTGTTTTTCTATGTTGAAGTGGTGTTTTCTCTGTGGTGAAACTGGAAACGTTCAGAGCAGCGATTTCTGACGCTTTCAAGCTTCGACGAACCGGTCCAATAAAAATCAAAGCAATTGTCATCATCTTCCACAGGGCACATGCTTCAAATATGAAACGGGAAATGATCAGACTTTAATTCTTAATAATAAAAAAAAAGAAAAGAATTGACCTTTTTGTTTGAAATAGTTCTGGATGAGATCCAGATGAATAATGCATGACGAATGAAGTGCTGTAAATCCAAGTGTGCTGAAAAGCAGGAGGTGAATAGTGCACTGCTTTATGAACAGACGATGCGCCGCTTCAGAGGGAAGTCTCTGCTATTGATGTGTGGCTCTCAACAGGATTGTCTCAGGTCAAGGTGAAGCACGAACCCGGAGACCGTAATCCACAAGAGAACGTCTCTTGAGTCGATGGAATCGCTCCTCGATGATGATTATCTGCCCTTGACACGTGGCCTGCGGCTACGCGGAGCGGCGTGCCGCCGTTGGTCATTTGGCTCACCGCGTTGTGTGACGTTTGCTGGCAGATCGGCGGCCCGGGGAAGACCCTGGAGGAGAGGCGCTCCAGCCTGGACGCTGAGATCGACTCCCTCACCAGCATCCTGGCCGACCTGGAGAGCAGCTCGCCCTACAAGCCGCGCGCCCCCCAAGTACGTCCCGACGCACGCCACCCACACACGCTCTGCCCCTGCTTACATTCAACGGACAGCTGTCAAAGGAGTGCAATGGGCCGATCCTGAATCGGTAGTGATGTCATCAGGGAGGACGTTAGGAAATGTAGGATGCAGGGTTTTGGGGGTGTGGCTTATACGAGGGGCTAAAAGTCAACGTACTTTGGCCATCTTTCACAAGCCCTCCTACTTAATTGAAGGGACGAACCCGACCCGAGTGCCCCTTTAATATTTCATTGTTTTTAAGAGGAAGCAGTTGTACAGGCAAGTATTGTTTTGTAGGACTTTCTCTTGTGACAAAGTGATCCTATGGCGCTTACAGTAATTGCGCTAAATGAAAAGACTGCAGACTGAAATTCCTAACAACTGTAAAAAAGTACCGACTGGTTTAACAGCATTTCATTGAAAAGACAGACTGCATCAAATGAGCTTCCCGCAGGAATTGGACCCATATGTTGCTTCTTTTAAAAATGTTTTGCACCGATGGAAAAACTGAGTCTTGACCTATATCATTAGTTGATATTAAACGGTATTAAGAGCAACTTCAAAAAGTCAAAGCCTTGGGCAGTTCACTAAGTAGTTTGACACACAATAAATGTAGGGCAGGCGGATAAAAAAACCTAACCAATAGTGTTTGGTGTAAGAAGACTCAGAGGGGCTTTTAACACCATACAGATCGTATCTCAAGTGAGATATTCAAGCAATGGTATAATACCTGAAAGGCTGTTATCTGTCAAGGCTATAGTCAGAGTACTCTGAAGGATATTCCAGTTTTTATCCGTGGGTTGTTTACTGTGTAGTTACCATGTCTACACGCTGTCTGTTTTATTAATTTATTTAAAGATGCATATGTGAGCTTGAAAACGTTACGGTGATCAATTATTGACGAGGCTGTTCCTTCGGCTACGGATGAGCGTCTGCGTCCGCCTTCAACGTGCACACATTTATATCCACTGACCTACTACGTCACATCCACTTTAACGTGGAGGGAAAACTACTTTCAGTGCACACATCTGTGAATATAAAATGCATATTCGATGCTACCTTTGTGGAAAATGACGTGGGAAGTGTGCCGCGGGACCAAGGTGGACAGAGTAGTAAACAAAATGTTGCTTTTGTGGTTTAAGTCCAGCGACTGTTGGTCAGAGGGAGCAGAACGGGTGCAGCTCAGGTGAAAACTATTGCGCCACACAGGGGAAACATGGCGGATCAAGGGCGAAAAAGAAATGAGCCGAGCGTGCACGCGATACACACTGCAGGCAAGTCAAATATGAGCTGGTGATCTCTGGTAATTAAACGGCACACTGTAATAGCATAACCTCATGTGCTCATGAAATATGGTAAAACGCCTTCATCACGTTGAGCGGTGCGTAGTAGAAAACAGACATTGCGTTTTGGGGTTTGCCGTCTGCATGGACCTGCCGCCCACAGGTGTCTGTGCACGTTCTCTGCGATGGAGAACTTGATTAAGTTCAAGGCCTTTCCCCTCAAAAGTATTCATGCCCGCAGCCAATTTGCGATAATTGCAACACTTTCTCAAAAAAAAAAAAATAGTTTGAATAGATTTGTGCAGGCAGAGGACCAACTGCCAGGTGGCTGCTGACATATTGCCCCCTCGGCCTCAGGGAAGCTATTTTAGCAAAATGCTTTGATCCAACTTTTCATTTCTTTAGTAAAAAGGTACGAATGGATGTGCTCGACTGGTCTCTTTTCAGGGGAGTGATAAAGTTTGCCGTCTGGTTTCTGACTGCGGAGCCTGCGTGTTGTTGTTTGTCTATATTTGAAGCAGTAGAAAATGTGATCCTGTTCCCTTAAATAGTTGACCAATAGGAGCGCAGAGCACCGCTGTAAAGAGGAACGACTGCTGCTCGATGGAACGCTTGTTTGTCTGACTGCAGTTCCACAATGTAGAACATATCCAGGAATCTGGAATCAGAACATCGACCTTCTCGCCGAACTCGTGGCAAGAAAGCAAAGGGTTTCCCAAAATATCGCAGCCTTCCTTTAATAGTAGAAAAAGCAAAACATGCACCCTTTTTATGGTATGTGACTGCACAATGTCTATTATATATACGTACTGCCAGCTGTCAGATGTGAAAGCATCTGTTCCGGATTTATTCTACGTTTCATGTAAACAAACACAAACAAAGTGTACACGGTGAAAATGCACAGACGCCCACATATTGAGAGCGCAGAGAAGTACTTTTATTACTTTTATTAGAATGCACAGCGACCAGCTGATGAAACACTAAATAAAATATAGTATAAGTGCACACCTTTGTTGGGTTAAAAGACAAAAAAACACACACACGTGCAGTTTATATCAGAGCAGCAGCCTGAAAGCCTTTGTCAACACAACTTGAAAAATTGATGCGCACCTCTGAGCGCCCGCCTCACGCTAACTAATGTATGGCCGCCGCCGCCGCCGTTCTCTACCTGTCAGGGTGGGAGTCGTCCCGCGTCTTTATTTTTATCCCGGTGAACCCAGTGTGAGCTTTTCCTCGGGTTGCGGGCGAGGAGCCGTGCCACCTGTGTCTCAGTGAGTGCACGTACATGCCGTGACATGTATAAGTCACGGGTCGTTATGTAGCGGGACGTTTTGTTGACTTAACCCCGTTCCTGCGCTCTGGCGCCGCCGCTGTGTCTTCTCTCTGACGGCCTTTTGCACATTTCCACTTGATTGTTTATTTTCTAGCAGCACGAACATATGCGCGCGCACACATGCACGCACACAAACATGCACGCGCACACACACACACACACATGCTGTTACTCTCTCCTCAGCTGATGCTGATTCTAGCTGATTAACTCAGGTTGACCTTTCCCGCCCCCCGTTCCCAGCTGCTCCCGTCAGTCCGTGCTCGGCCTCTTTCCATGTTCCATGTTTATTCCCACACGCAGCAGTGAGCAGAGTCGCGGGCTCCTCGTACCGTCCCGCCGCGCGGCAATCCTCCGCCTGTATAAGCAAAGAGCAACGAGCGGTCTTGATTTACAGCTTTCCGGCGCGCAAAGCAATTACAGAGCCAGCTCTCCAAAAATCAATAGGTCCCTTCCTTAGCTCTTGGAGCAGAACCCCCCCCTCCAACTCTAAATCTGGAATCGGTGAGGAGGCCGTTCATGTGCCAGCCTCCCAGACGAGGATTGCAGTGGACGTTGTCGCTCATTCATAAAAATTCCAAGTAGCATTCCCGCAAACGCTCAGCCGGCACTGATGCCTCACAGACATCAAAACAATTCAGTTTGCTTTAGTTGGTATTCTCTGTTGCATAACAGGGGGTAATGAAATGTGATCATTATATAACCCCCATTTGTTCTCTCTCCACTTTCCGTCTTGACGTGTTTGACACAGTTAACTAAGTTTGCGTTGCGCTTTGTTAGCTTCATCCTGCGACAGCAAAAAAAAGGAAAAATAAAGCCGGACCTGATTGTGATGATAATGCATTTTTTTCTTCATATGACGTTTACATATCAAATGTTTGAACAAAATTGTCATGAATGCTGTTATTCTTTTGTGAGAGTCGATTCTCATTGTGCTTTTGTTCCCTTAAATTCTAGTTAAATTTCACTCACTTTTATAACATTTCGAAAGTTTATTTCAACAACGTGAAGCTGTGTCAGGGAGCTGGAGAAGTATCAGAAGTACTACTCGTACTACTACTACTCGTGCAGTCATCATGACTTCGTAGTCATCACGACGCGTTGACACATGACTAGTTTAGCGACGAGAGGAGCAGCCAATCGGTCACCTGGTGATCCCCCTGGCCGGCCCTTTCTCTGCCCGTCATCAGCCCGCGCCTTGTTTTTGAGATCTGGCTGTGAGATCCTGGTATCTCTTTAACGGTGCGATACTGTGAGCCTGGCACGGGGAAGACAACACAAGGAGTGCGTGCTCATGCTAAAAGTGTGCTGCACTGCAATCTGCGCCCAACCAGCCCCACTAATGTGCAGCGTAGGCCTGTCTGAGCACATCACATCTGTTGTGGGGGGAGTTTACAAGTGGGCCCGGATGAGTGTCAAAATAGTGCGCTCGTCAAAGGCGCTTGGGCGGAGGCTGCCGAGGCCGCTGCGACCTCTGATTCACACCGCGAGTGCCGCCGTCTTTCTAGTAATCGAACCCGTCGCCGTGCCACGGTCTTTTGTTTTATATAATGCGCGTCCCGATTTTTTAATCCACACACGCTCTTTTCCATCCATGATGTGTTCACTGTATTTGATTTGAATAATTTTGGCAATCATATTCTGCTTGTATGCAAATGAAAACGCAAAAAAAAATCAACAAATGTGTTTGTGCATCAAGAAATTCCTTATGTAGAGATTAAGAAAAAGAGACTAACTATTCCGGTGGTGTTTGATCCAGTCTTTGCTCTCACTGAGCAGTGGAGAAAAGTACACACAAGTGCTGATGCACTTAGGCAGCAATCCACCGTGCGACCCGGGAAGTTACCAAGTAACAATTTAGCTTCACATTAAGCAGTGACATTTTTGTCCCAATTAAACCCTAATGCACTACCTCCATTAAAACCTCGTCCCGCTCTGATTCAATGCGGTGTGATGAGATCGGAGTTGAAATTAAAAAGCTCTTCCTGTCTGATCCATCCACTCTGTGCAATGATTATGTGCAGCATCCTAAATAAATATTGAATGTCTCAGCCCCATACACTTTTCCACTGTGATAAACCTGCATCAAGAATAATGTGTGTGTGTGTGTGTGTTTTGGGGGGGATCTTTTAAGTGAGGAGGGAGAGCCACTCCACTCGGCTGTCACAGGGCTGCCTCCTGGCAGTGCTTCTGGGACCAGAGATGTGTGACTCACTCACAGACGCGGTTCCACCTCAATTAACAGTCGAGGCAGCAAAGCGCACTCGAGCCGTCTCTTTGTGTGCGTGTTCATGTTGGGGACTCGCGTGCACATTTGCTAGTGCTGTCTAGAAAAAAACTAATGGCAAGTGAACGAGGCTGCTGAGCTCTTGGGTGCCTGT